AGAGCAAAACAAAGTACAGAAGTATCCAAGGCCAGTCCATTAGGATGCATCTTAGCTCATTGGAAAGAAATAGCAGGCAAAGGGGGTGTGGAAAATAAAAAGAGCTTAATCAAATATTGCTCCCATTGGTGGCCACTCTATCGCCTAGAGGAGGGGGCCAGATGGCCTCCTACAGGTACTTTAGAATATAATACCTTGTTACAGCTAATGCTATTTTTACGAAAGAAAGGGAAATGGGAGGAAGTTTCTTATTGTGATATGTTTTTCTCCCCCCGAAATAACCCTGATTGGCAAAGGGACTGTGGCATCAAAGCCCCCTCTGATCCCCTCATTCTAGCTCTTGAAAAAGAAAACAGAGGCAAAATGGGGAAACTTAAACGGTGCTGCTCAGCCTGTAGTATAGGACAGAGGTGCACCAGGATAGATAAAGTTTATCGCACAGCACTAGAAGAACAAGAACAAGATCCAAGCGATCTATTTAGTCCTCACTTAGGAAGGCAAGAAGGAAGGGGTGAGAACTTAGGAGAGGCATCAGCACCACCTGCACCACCTGCAACACCTACACTACACACCCCACCTGCATCACCTGCATCACCTATACCACCTACACCACCTGTTCCATCTACCCCTTCTCTTCCTTCAGAAAGAACACACGCTCCAACCCCCATAAGCAGCCCAGTTGCATCTCGAACCAGAGGACAAATATTGCAAGCTCCTTTACGAGAAACAATAACATTGGAGGGAGAAAAGGTACTAGTTAAGGTACCATTCTCCACCCTTGATTTAGAAGCATGGGAAAGGGTCGCGGGAGATTACCGAAATGACCCAGTCAACACTGCTAAACGTTTACGATACATTATGAAGCAACATAACCCAGACTGGGGTGATATTCAATTATTATTAGATGCATTCACTGAAACAGAAAAGCAGTTCTAAAAACAGCAGGAGATCTAGTAGCAGATCACTTTAGGCAACAACAAGTAGATCTAAGAGAACATTTTCCACTTCAAGACCCGGGCTGGAACCCAAAGCAACCAGAAGAGAGACAAAGGCTAAAGAAATATCAAGACTGGGTGGTATTGGGAGTGGAAAGAGCAATGCCTAAAACCATAAATTGGTCAGCTCTATATGCTATTAAACAGGGACCCTCGGAATCCCCCACTGAGTTCCTAGACCGTTTGAGAAATGCAATGCGGCGCTACACACCACTAGACCCTGCATCTGAGGTGGGGATACAACAACTAGTTAATTTATTTTTAGGGCAGTCCACAGGGGATATTAGGCGCAAACTCCAAAAGATTACAGAAGAAAAGACCCGAAATTTAGAAACTCTACTGGGAGAAGCTTGGAGGGTCTTTAGCAATAGGGAAGAAGGATATAAACGAGGGATGAAAAATTTAGTAGCAATAGTACAGGAAGAACAAAGAGGAAAATATGGCAGCAGGCAGGGGCCATCCAGGCAAGGCCCCCCCCAGTTGGGTAGAAATCAATGTGCAAACTGTCGGAAACAGGGCCATTGGAAGAGGGACTGTCCAGAATGGAAACAAAATGGACAGGAGAATCAAAGGGGGGAAGTAGTGGCCCATGTGCAAGAAAAATAGGAAGGACCGGAGGAGACTACCCCAGCAGACCCTCTGGTTGTAAATCTGAAGCTGGGGGAAATGGAAAAGGAAGTAAAATTCCTAATTAACACTGGGGCAACATACTCAGTTCTAAATACAGCTCTTATGCCCATAAGAGATAATTATGCTATAGTTACGGGTGCGACTGGCCAAACTGAAAAGGCATTTTTCTTCAAGCCACTCAAATACAAACTGGGAAAGCAGTGGGGAATCCGCAAATTCCTATATATGCCCAACTCCCCTGAGTCACTTTTGGGCAGAGATTTGCTAGCACAATTACACGCGACCATTACATTTAAAAATGGGGAAATGACCCTGGAAGTAAATGATCAAAAATATGTAGAAATATTAAGTTTAATATTAACCACTAATGAAGTCACGAGAGAAACTGAAATTGATAAAGAGGTAATGGATCAGGTATTCCCTGGGGTGTGAGCCTCTGATGTACCAGAGAGAGCAAAAAATGCTTCCCCTATACAGATCCGGCTAAAAAAAGAGAAGCAACCAGTCAGAGTTAAACAGTATCCCTTGAGGAGGGAGGATAGGGAAAAGATTAGCCCGGTAATTGAGAATTTTTTGCATCTAGGAATATTAAAGGAATGTCAGTCTGATTTTAATACCCCTATCCTACCAGTTCGCAAACCTGATGGGTCATACCGGTTAGTACAAGATCTGCGAGCTGTGAACAAGGTAACTGAAGATCTGTATCCTGTGGTGGCCAATCCCTACACGTTATTAACTTGCTTAACACCCGAATTAACTTGGTTTACCGTTTTAGATTTAAAAGATGCCTTCTTTTGCCTTCCTATCCATGAAGCCAATCAGAAAATTTTTGCATTTGAATGGGAAAGCCCCAAAAGTGGGTGAAAGACCCAACTTACGTGGACGAGACTTCCACAAGGATACAAAAACTCACCCACTCTGTTTGGAGAGCAACTTGCAAAGGAATTAGAGACCTGGAAAGCCCCTCCCGAGGAAGGGAAGCTGCT